ATTTCTGTAATCAGTAATTGAAAGGAAGACGACATTTTAGAAATACCTAAGTGAACTTGTTCACTAGACATTTATTTAATCACAGTACAATTGCCGTGTCTCAGGCACTTTGCACTTTCTGAAGTTATGACTTGATTTTAAAAGTCGTCTTCCTATTTCAAAGTTTTCTGGTTATGACTGTACATTTGTATCTCAGGTGTTCTCTTGAACAATCTATCCATCAAAATATTTTCATATTTTGTGGAATTTTCAAAATGTTCTTTTTAAGTATAAGTGATAACGGAAAATTTTTTCTAATTATGCTCTCTGCTTGAAATATAAATAAAAGATCTTCAACAGCTTTTCTATTGATAAGAAGACACAATATATATATATCTTCCTACTTTGCAAATAATAAAATTTTATTGTTATTTCTGTAAAGGGACCTTTTCCAATCATGTTAATAATTACTGTAAACATTAATAAAATATCTGTTTTCATTTTTAATTTAAATCTGCACTTGACTTTCTGTTAAAATTTGTTAATTATTGAAAATCAATGGAAAATTCCAGAACCAACACCAAAATTTTCAAAGCTAATTTATGCAAAGGAATATAGTCTATTTTCAAATTCTGATTTCTAATCCCTTTATCTTTACAATTCAATTTCGTAAGCCTCTAAAACTATGAATTCTGTTAAATCAAATAATCAAAAATATCAAAGGTTTACACCATTGGGTTGCAAAGATATATAAGGCAAACAATCAATTTACTGAAAGAACCAAAGTAATTATATTGATACATGATTAATTGAAAAAAATTCACTTGTTTTTTGAAGTAAGAACATTTTTGAGAATGGATTAAATTTTTCGTGATTTTGGTTGTCGTTCAAAAAAAAAACAAATTATGGACAAAAAAATGGATCATTCAGAGAAATGAAAAAATGATTGTTCTTTAAAAACGAATGTAGAACTAAAAAGAAGTTATAAAATAGTTTAAACAAAATTATATTTTTGGTGATTTTGACATTTTTATGCTCTGTACCGTTCTACGGTGCCCTACTTTCAAATGCATTAAATACCATATTAGAAAATTCCAATCTATATTGCTGAGGTATTTCTTTGGAAAATCCTAAGAAATTCTTGGGACTTGGTCACCAATTTTAAAGCCGTTTTTCTCATATGTTATGGACAGTATTCAAAGCACTAGACATCTTGTTGTTGATAATTGTTCCCGAGAAATTCTCAGGAATCTCTTCAGAGCTGGGAACTTTTGAATGGTGGATATAGGAATTAATGTTTGTTCCTCTCTTTTTCTTAATCTCCAGAGCTGAAAACTTTAGAATGGTGGATATCGAGATCAATGCTTGATCTCCTCTTTTTCTAAATCCCCAGATTAAATATTGCTTGTTCTCCTCTTGATATTTATCTCCAGATTAATTAACCGATCGGAATTAAGGATATCACATTCTAAAGTTTTCAGCTCTGATTAAATAATGCTTGTTCTCCTCTTGTTATTAATCTCCAGATTAATAAACCGATCGAGATTAAGGACATCCCATTCTAAAGTTTTCAGCTCTGATTAACTTTTCTCTGGAAATTCACGAGAATTTCCCTAAATTCTTCAACATTTTTTGTGAATTTTTGCAGAATTTGCCGAGTTTGTAACCTGGGAAGCTTTCCAACATTATGGATACACATAAACATGGAAACAAAGAGACCATTAATTGACAGTTTCTCTTTGTTTACTAGTATAAATTGTAGTTTGAAAAAGCATGTAAGAAATCAAAACTCAAATAGAAAAGTCGTCTTCATTGTATACTTTAATGTAAGTTCAAATATGATAAAACTGTAAAAATTTAGACTTGGAATTAGTTTTATTTTATCCCTAGAACTCTATTTAAAATTCTAATGTATTACAAATGCAATTCCTTTAAATAAAGCTGTAAACAATTAACAATTGATAGGTTTCAGAAAGAATAAAATTTAGATGATATTGTACTGGTTTCCCAAAAAACAAATAAATTAAGCTAGACCATTTTCTGAGATCATTAGCCTTCTACAACCTAATTTTATGTAAAAGGAAAAAGACTACTTTGTTATTCTGCAAAATGTTGCATTATGTTCTGAAATATTTCAGCAAGATAAAAAGTGAAGAGGATCAACTGTATTGTGTTTGTATACAGAAATTTCTCATTTTACTGTACTACAGTATGCAGTCAAAACAGAAACAAAAAACTCTTAACTCTAGCAGACGATGTATCTGGGGATTACAGCTTTCCATATATTGGGCATCAGTCATCACCATACTTAACTAAAAAATAATTTACAAAGATGTTATCAAATGTGTCACTAAATTACTACTGTTTGGGACACCTTGTATTAAAAATATAAAACTTAGCATTAATCTTAAAGGTTCAGTATTTAGAAGAGATCTTTGCAGTAAAGAGTAAATATGAAAAGGACCTCTTAAAGTTTAAGACTTATGAAAATTAATAAAAACTAGAGTGCTATCGTCAATTTCTAGAATATCAACCGTTAACACCATCAAACAATTAAGATTCTCAATAAACAGGAAAGAACCAAAGAACAAACCAGTTAACTAAACAGAATGTTCAGGTATTAGCCATGGAAAACCTGAAAAGTATTCGCAAAATATGTTCGAAATTTTTACGAAATTGAGTAAATTTTTGACCTTTTGCTCAAAATCGTATTTTTTTCGCAATAATTTTCAACAAGCCATTTTTGCGAAATTTCAACCTAATTCTACTAGCATTTTTGATAAAATGTAAAGCATTTTTGAATTTTCTTTAAAACTTTTTGTTTAAGAACTGTTTAGTTGAAGTCAAAGTTGACAACTAAATTTGATGATTTTAACATCCCTTACACATATAGAAATCGTTGCAGAAATATTTAAATAAAATTTATCTCTCAAAGAGTATTTACCAAAGATTTACTTCAAACATGATGATAAGTCATTTTCAAATCGTCATGTTTAGTTGAACACCCTATAATAGATGAACAGTATTTACATATACTAACAATCTAGATAATTCGTCTGCATATTAAATTAACTCTTATGTTTTAACAAGAATCATGAACTAGTCATACTATATTACAGCATTTCTCACAAAGGATGAGAATTAAGAAACAATAGGCAAAATTTCTTGGGTCTTTGTTTTTTATTGAATGTTCCCTGCAGCTTTAAATTTATTTTTTCTTTGCTAAATCATTGAATATACCATTCAAGAACTATTTTTAAGATAGAAAAGCCAACCTTCAGCTTTTCATAGTTATAATTCTATCCTGGCTGGGCTATATGTGTCTAATATAGGCGGGGGGGGGGGTGGTTGTTTTGCCCTTACTAGTTGAAAAATAGGAGAGTGTGATACATGTCTTAACTCCAACTTTTCAAGCCTGCTCATTAAAAAAAAATAAGACCTTTAGCTTTAATGGTTATGGGGTGGAAGGTGGGATTTTGAAAAATTTTATCATGTTAATACATTTTTCAAGGGCTTTTCAAATATATAAATGTTTCCCTGTAGCTTCATTAATAAAAAATGTATTAAGCATTTCAGATTTTTTGAAACACCGCCCCCCTGTTTGACTGTCCTTCACTCTAATGCCAACATTTTTTCACAACTATGATGTTGAAAAGTGAAGAAGTTTCAGCGTTCTAATGCAAGCCATTTTAAAGTTATTTAGAAAAAACCACAACCATGAGGGAGTGAGGGTGGAAAACACACACCCCCCAAGCTGTGACAGGGTTAAAGATGTTCAGGTTGTCATTAAAGTCTCATCCTTTGTGCGTAACCCTGTATATTCAAGATTCAACACTGAACACCAGCAGGATACCAGCACTAGATGTGAAATTAGAAATGCAGAAAATCACTGATAAACAATTTATATTATCAGTTTTCATACATACTATTTGCGAGATGATCCTTATTTATTAGATAAAATGAAGCGACACATTATACTTGGGGGGGGGGGGGCCTCACCAGACATTCAGAAATCCAACAATCTTCTTGACTCAAAATGGAAAAAAATTCGATTTTTGTTGAACGAAAATTTAACAAAAACTTCGCAAAAATGGACGAAATTTTAGTGAAAATGTACCCAGCCCTAGCTGTCTTTAGATATCTTTCAAACCCAATATCCCTACCCAAATATTTTTGATATATATGTTTTGATAAAATATTTAATATTTTTAAAAATTTACCCTTCAAAATAGAATAACAGGTGAAAATTGAAAACCAAGCCTGACATTTTAATATTGAAAAATAACAAAATTAACATCAATTCATTTTGCTCCTTCACAGAATGATCATTAAAGTTTGTATAGATTTATAAATCATAAAGATTTAGAATTAATTTTTTAAAATTCTGTTGTGGAGTCTCTCCATAGTAGGTAAAGGACCTAGATTTGTCACGGGCAGCCAAAGTACATTTGAATTTCCGAGCCGGGTCAACCTTTTCGGTCCCAGTTTGTACTGTACCTAGCTCTATGGATAGGACTAGCCGGTGCAACAAGGTTGACGCGGTCAGACTTTATGCTTCGTATAGGTTGAATTTACTTTTACTAAGGGGAAGAGGTGTGTGTTGTTTCATGTCAAGAAATAAAATTTTCGTATACATCTTATATTATTAGATTTGGAATGAAAATGTTGATGGTTCTCCTTGTGTTAAATGTAGGAACTGTATTAGCTGACTGTAGCAAGGAAGAAGAGCAGAATAATTGGAATACAATACAATGGTTTATCAGGAATATATTATGATTTAGAAAATAATTTTCATAGATTCAGAGAAGGTAGTTGGTACAAACTACAGGTCCATCGGGATTGTTTAATATAATGTCAGTTTTACAAAAAACAATTCATTTTAAAGAAATATGCCCCAAAGGTTTGGAACCTAGGTCTTCCCTCAGATTGGTTTTTCTTTCTTTTTCTTTTTAGTTTATAGAATCTTTTTATTCATTAATTCTAGAATTGATTAGAATTCCAAACATTATCATATTATATCAAGAGGTGAGGAAGAAAAGTGTCTGAATGTATTTGTCGGGTAGGAGTAAATCATTCATCATTTTTCAAAACTTCATTTTTTTTAGGACTGTGTCATGTTTTTTCAAAATCTTTGTTCATCATTTATTAACAGTATACATAGTGATCGGCAAAAACTTGGTTTTATTTTTAAAGACACCACACAAATACTGTGAACTTTTAAAGGAAAGGCTGTTTCTATTGAACTATAAAAAAATGTGTATCCCTAGACACTTGTATTTCAATAGAAGTAGATTTTTCATTTGGTTTACTGTCCTGTTTTGACCTATATTGTTGTATGTTTGTGTACTGTACAGCTTGCTCTAGGAGGTTCAAAGTCCACCCATAAAACTTGAAATGAACCGGAGTTTTCAGTGTAAAGAAAGAAAAGGGAAAAACAATTTAAAAACTAAAATATTAAAACATTCATTTTCTGTTCGTTTTGTGATAATAATTTGCAAATATCTTTTCTAAGGGTCAAAATTTGGCAAAGGAAAGCAAATATTTGAAATTTCAATTAGTAAAACTTCACACAATTTTTGTGGAACCTACCATAAATTTAAAAACCTTAATATTTTAACCCTTTTCCTGCTGGGGGGGAGGGGTCAAATTGACCCCCCCAGCATATCCTGGTTTTCAAGTACCCCAGCAAAGATAGGGTTAACAAAAACAAACAAACTATTGCCCTACATTAACAACACCTGTTGTTTGTTAATTTTTTTATTAAAATATTAATCAATTTATTCACTTTGTCATCACGCAAGGGGTTTTATACCTAGTTTTATTCAAGGTTGGAGAATATTCTAAACCCTGGAGAACTAAGCCTTGTATTTGAAGATGTAAATAATCTGCAAACTATGAAAGAGCAAATACATTTTACAACAAAATGTATTTTCATAACAACTCATAAAGTAAATTTTTTAAGTATAATATTGAACATTAATTTTTAACTGGGTCAAATGAACAAAAGATAATCTAGATCAAGGTACTAATGTAAGGAAAGTTAATTGCGGTTGCATTACTCTGCGTACATATTGAAACCAAATCTCTCTGGGCTGAATTTGTAAACAAGAGTAGATGCATCAGTGTTAGTTTAGTACCCGAGAAGGTTAATAGCATTTCATTTTAATATTTTTTGATAATTTACATAATAGTATGACCAGAGTATTTCATTGATTTTTTTTATGTGAAAGATGGATCCCATGTCAGGCTTTGACACCCGTCTTGTGTTTACATTACTGCCCAAAGACAGCAATGCTGCAGACTGCAGTACAAAAAATGTCTATAGTTACATTACTTAAATATATTTTATTTTATGTAAGGTGTCTGTTGCCAGTGAAATGATAAAACTAGGATTTTCTCCTAAATATATTTTTGTTCTACAACCTGAGAATTCATTGACATCAGATTCTCCAGGAAAATATCTTTTCTACAGAAGCTGTAAAATAAACAATAAAAAGTATAAAAACTGCTCCTTCACACAGCAAAATCAATCAATCCACAATGAAATAGACAGAAGGGTCAAAGGAGTTGAGTCTTTGCAACAAACTCTGATTTTCTAATCCCTATATCTTAAGATTCCGATGTCGTAGACCTTTGATATTTCAAACTATGAGTTCTTTTAGATCAAATAATATAAATTTGAAATATTAAAGGTTTACAATATTGGGTTTCAAAGATATAGGGATTAGAAAATCTGAGTTTTTGGCTAAGAATCATTACTGGTTTAGTTATGTGACCTTTGGTCCTCTAGCATTGATATTTTGTACAAATATGAGAGAAGCAAATTCATTCTGTTACTGCATCAACATCATTGTTCTTCTCAATAGCTGTACAATAATGTTATGATTAAAAACAAACAAAATTTTAAACTTGCATGCAGTTTACTTTAGTTAAACATGAGTTCGTAGTGGATCAGAAATGCTCATTTTGCTGTGCATTTTAAAAATTCGAAATATGCAAAACTCTTTAATTAAAATGCTTATAATAGTACATTTTCACTTTATTTAATTTACAGTACAAATGTATTATAATGGAAATGTTCTTTACCCTATATCATGTGCAGCAAGTTACGCAATCCCTGGCGATATTTCAGATGTAATGAAATAAACAAAGATAATGATCCTTCAATACTTTTCTCAATGTTTATTTACATATTTTAGGGATGTAAATAGGAATAAATTTACTGGTCTTTGGTCTAATTATTTAAACCGTGTAGTATTCAATAGAAACCAGGATATCAGGAGAATAGATTCATTATACAACAAACATTTCAGGTAACAAAACTTTAAAAACATGCTATGATGATACATACATATTATAGATTTATCAAACGTAAATGTTTAATATACATTATTAGTGAATATTATTTTTAATTTTCTTAGTTTAGAACATTATCAAACACAGGGGTGTTTAGATTTAGTTTGTGGACAGGCAGGGTTGCATTCATAATCAAACAGGTTTTCACATTTTAAACAAACAGAAAAGTTCACGAGATGCTTATTAATCTTTTTTATGCGGGTTGGATTTGCATTCTTTCATGCGGTTTGGTTCAACCCATCTTGTACTTGATTTAGGGTCTGTTTCTAGTGCAACCCAGGCACATTCTGTACTGCAGATTGTCTCAGATCTGTAGATTGGAGACCAAGATGACCGTCCATCACATTTATCACATAAACTATTCCTGTCCTCCTTCTCCATCCAAGTTGTGTCCCAGGGACAAGAGAAGTGTGTTCTTTACCTAGACTTTCCCCCTCTTCAGCAGGTACAGGTTGTAGCATTGCTAAGAAAGTTCCCCCTGGAGTCCTGATTATATCTCCTGAATTTTGAGCTGCTTCCTCAGCTCTAGTATTTTTTTTCCTTCTCCGTAATACAAAGTTTACTGCATAAGGTTTCTGTACTACAGGGATCAGTAAAGTTTGTATTCGGTTGAACTGGGTAACCTGTTGATCTGACCTGACAAAGCCCGGCTGGGTGTAGGATCCATATCCCAGCTCCTCTGCACTTATTATATAACTGTAGGATAACAGGGAAAGTATTTATCCCTGCCATCGTGAAAGTTTTGTGGATCACATTTCAAAGACGTTGTTGTCCCTCTCAGTGTCGGCAGAAGACTGACTCAGTGTCGGCAGAAGACTGAAGAAATTATGATTCCTTTAACTCAAACTTTTTATTCGAATTCTTTAATTTTATTTAAGTTCTATGTTTCTATTTCAGGATTGCCTACAATGTGTACACTCCAAAATTTGATGTTAAAAATGGAAAACCTGATTCGGAAACATATGAGGGGTATTATCTAAATACATTTATAGGTTGTCATTTCTAACTTTTCGATATTTTAAAGGTCTATCAAATCTACAATTTATTAGTGTTAGGACATTTCATGGATAGGAAATTTCATATGATTTGATAATTCAAAGATAGGACATTTTATAGATAGTAAATTTCATATTTGACATTTCCAATTTTAAAAAGAATAAATTTTAGATTTAGATTTTAGATTTTAGACATAAATTTAGTTATGCAGTGTGTGTCTTAACTAACAAGACATGATTAGAAATATGTTATAAGTTAATAGAAAAAATTTGAATTATAATATGTGAAGTGAAAATCGGATAGAATCTATCTATGACAACTTCTGTCTAGAAATGCTCTGAATGTGAAATGCCGTGTTTAAAAAAGTCTTCTATGAAATGTCCCCTCACCAATTTATGTCTGCAATCTATTAATTAAGATAAGTATAAGTTGACCACGAACCTGATATTTGCGAATAATTCCTGGGGTCTCCCTGATCCAGTTACTAATACATGGAATGGGATTGTTGGTGTGGTAAGAATTATTTATTTTCTCAAAATAGACTCTGGTTTAGATGGCATCAAAAACCCATCAATATATATATCTAATGTAGTAATCTCTGTTTGCCTTCATTGCTTGATCATAAATAAGGAACTATTTGATCAATTTGCTTCAAATTTTTATTTGGTAATTCAGTTGAACCCCAGAAATGTTCTTATAGCTTGGTTTAAAAATTCAACGTTGAGTTGTTTGACTTATAAACCGAACATTTAGATTTCAGGAAAGCTGGGTTCCCAAGCTAAAGTTCTTTAAAAATGTTAATTTCAAGTAGAGAAATATAAAAAAATAACTTTTACATACTTTTTTTAAGGTTGGATACGATCAAGCAGAATTCGGTGTAGGTTACATATCATACACTTTTCAAAGGTAAAAAATGTCCTTCATTGAAAGGATTTTTTATAGTTTAATTCCATATAAGAAATGGAAGATCAACCTTTTTCTAAAAAGGCCTTATAGGGTGAAATAAAGTAAGCCTGCATTTGCAAAGTGGCATGTCTGATTCACAACAGTACCCTTAAAAGAAAATCAAAGATGACTTAAATATTCAATGCTTTTGAAAACCATCTATTTTCATTTGGGGTTTCTCTGCAAAAGTGACTTGTGCATTTTTTACGCTTTTTACGCAAGCAAAACAAGGTTATCTTCCGCACCATTGATCAGATTCAGGTTTTAAGATTGCTGTTTTAAATCAGTATATTTTTTTAATGGAGGGTCAGAGGCCGTATTTGAAGAATTTGAGCCGCAGCTTAGATTTAAGCTGCGGCTCAAATATGGTTGGTTCCACTTAAAATTGTATTCATTGTTTCAAGATTTAAGCCGGCTCGGATTTAGGACGCAGCTCAATTCGGACACAGGATAGTCCCGTTAAGAAAGTGAAATTATTAAAAACTTTCTTCAATTGCATTTCTTTATCAAACTACGAAAAATCTATCACTAAATGACTCTGATCGGAGTTACAAACAGATGAAATGCATTCTAGATCCAGAATTGAGTTTCCAAACCCAAAGTTGATGACTTTGGCACCCCACATGAACCTATCACAAAATTTTTGAAAAAATGTCAAGGATACATCTCTAATAGCAAAGTCAGAAGGCCCCCCCTTTGTATGTGAATATTTTCCTTTACTACTATGGATTATCTTAGAGAGAGTTTTACTCCATACTCGACTCATCTTGGTGTTGAAGCAAGTGTCTGGGTTTCAAAGGTAATCAATCGCCTATAGGTCTAATGAATAAGTAGAATTGATCTAAAATTTGGTGTTTATGATAGACCAAACCTCATAGATTAAATAAAGTTGATGCTAGTTTCATATTTTATTAAAAATATATTTTGGTCTGGGTTGACCCTCGTCGGTTCTAAGGATATAATGATAATCAACAATAAAAATGTTAAAACCACTATTTATTTTCAAAAAAAGGAGAATTGAGTTGGTGGGGAGGCTAGAGCGTTGCAACACTTCAAAGTCGAGGCCGTCTAAAAATTTAATGACTAAGTTTATAGTCATGTCTATATTTCAGTAAAGCAAAACCCTTTGCAGTTAAACAAATTTCACCCCAAACCCAACATTAATAATTGGGGTTTCAACCTCATGCTTAAATGTAATATGTAAAAATTACACTTAAGAATACGAATATATAATTTATATGTGTGTTTGCAGTATCCAGGAAAGAGATCACCGGTTGATAATATTGTAAAGGTAATTTTTAACAATTCATACTTATTAATAATTTTTTAAATCAATCAATATTGTATTTTTTAATGATAATAATTTTATTTTAAAAAAAAATGATAATACTCTTTTAAAATGATGATGAAACGTTTTTTTAATTAATGATAATATCATTTTTACAAAATGATGAAAAAATTTCTTTTAAATTTAAAGTTGATGAGGAAAATGTGGGATTTAAAGGAACTGTAAGGATGTTAATGCCCGATTCACAATGGCTCCCTTGAAACCTTTGTCTTATCAATAATGTGGAAGATATTGTCGTTTTCCTAGGTTTTATTGTTTAATTCTGATAATTCTGATTTGTTTTCCTGCCGCCGAAATGTGCAAAGAAACCTCAGTTTTCAAATTAAAAAGAATGATATCTAATTCATATCTTGATCAGAAAAAGCTTTTAAGATTACAATTTCTAATCAGGTATTGTCATCTTTGCACGGAGTATCAATTAAAATTTCGCTTACAGTTCCTTTTATTTAAATATGTTTCCCTAAAAAGTTAAAACAAAATGTAGGTATTTGACCGTTATACCTGGTTTGCTCTTCTTGGAAGGTAAAATATATTTTTTAAACAAAAAATATTCAAATGATTATATATATATTTCTTATTTAGCATAGTTTTGACAAGTTTTGCTCTTCTGGGTATTGTAAATACACTTAGAAGCTTGGGATTTAAACAGGTTATAGTCTTGGATTGAAAAGGACTGGAGTGTTCACCTTACATATATTGAATTCGATATCAATCACTATACTAATTACTAATAATTCTAGTCTAGGATATAAACATGTAGTCTAGAATATAATCACATAGTCTAGGATATATCATGTATAGTCTAGGATATAAACATGTAGCCTACTATGTAAACAAGTAGTCTAGGATATAAGCATGTAGTCTAGGATATAAACATTAGTCTAGGATATAAACATGTAGTCTAGTATATAAACATGCAGTCTAGGATATAAAAATGTAGTCTAGGATATGAACATGTAGTCTAGGATATAAACATGTAGTCTAGGATATAAACATGTAGTCTAGGATATAAACATGTAGTCTAGGATATAAAAATGTATTCTAGGATGTAAACATGTAGTCTAGGATAAAAAAATGTAGTTTAGGATGTACACATGTAGTCTAGGATGTAAACATGTAGTCTAGGATAAAAACATGTAGTCTAGGATATAAATATGTTTTCCTATTGATGATTTTTATTGTCCAGCCGGATAATATTCTTGTGCTTCTGACCCCAATAGCTATACTTAACGCGGAGCCTATGCCAGAATGGTTTCTGTTTTCTAGAACACGAGGTAAAAATTTTTTTTTTTTAAATATTGAAAATGTTATTTCTTTGAAAAGCAAGACAATTAAATTGTTTTTTTATTCATATTTTTCTCTCTTATTAAATTATTGAAATAAATCATTAATGATTTTTCGCCCAGTTCGGTTTGGTTAAAATTCAAGCAATTAAAGAAATGTATTTTATTGTTGCTTGCTCCGTGAATTTTCCTTAAGCACCTGCACATATAATGAAATTTTTCAATTCTAAAATCAATAAAGATCAGATATTTGGAGGGGAGATATTTTTTTATTTTTGTTATGTTGGGTTCCACTAAAATATGCTGATGTGGAATAACCAAACTAACATAGCAAAAGACAGACGCATTCCCGAATTTACTCTATTTATGTAAACCCTCTTTTTTTTGGAGGGGGGGGGGGTGGCATTTTGTCAATTTGGAGTTTTCAAAAAACAGGGGCCATGGTGTCATATAAAATTTTTTAAAACAAATAATTTTGAGCGAGAAGAAATTATTATTAGTGTACTCCGGGAGTATCTTTATGCTAACCTATGCTTTATTCTCAACATTGGTCGTCTTTGCTTTCTCAAGCAACCTTAGGTCGGTATATTTGTTAGCATTTTTTTGCATTGATTTTAACGCTTTTTTAATAAAACGATTAGAGGTTTGATAACCCCCCCCCCCCAACCCTTTCTATGTTTTAAAAAAACCTCAAAAACAAATCAGTTTTAAAATGTAAACAAATCAGTTTTAAAATTTAAACAAATCAGTTTTAAAATGTAAACAAATCAGTTTTAAAATGTAAACAAATCAGTTAAGTTTCAAAATAAAACATGTGAACATTCTTTTGCACTCAAATCTTCATTTTAATGTTCGCATTTCCAATTTATTTAAAATTCACACACTGTGACAAAAACTTTTTTATCTTTTGCATATTTGAAATGGTATTCAAAAATGGAATGCTCCATGCATGAGAGCTTACTAACCTAGAATTTGATCAGAGGAGGCCAATCCCCCACAGTGCAGTGGGGTGTAAGGACAGGAATATTTAGTTAACACTTTAATCCTCTTATTCAAACCAAACAAGGCTTGGTTGTATCCAACAATAGGACATTTCTGCGAAAACTCTTAAAACAGTTTTTTTTTTTTAACACAGTGCTTGTCTATAGGGCTGGGCATGTTCTAACTTTTTCTAGCCGTTTCGTTAACAGTTAGTTCCAACCATTAAAAAATAAGAATTTCAGTAAACCGTTAATTTTAAAGGTAAAGACGGAACGTTCGTTCCGTTAACGACATTTTCCATTTTCTTGAATGACCATTAGTTAACCATCTCAATTTTATTAACGGCGTTAACGGAAAATTTTCAAATCGTTAACGTCTCTATCCGTTAATGATACTGTTATAACAAAATTAACTGTGAAAAATTTCTTTAAGGGTTAAAAAAATCATTAATGACACAGCCATTAACTGTATATTACCGTATTAATGGCGAAAAAGGTGTGTTAATGTTATATTACAGTATTAACAGCTTTAACGACAAGATGATTTCGTTAACGGTTTATAAACACAGAAATTTTAAAACATCAAAACGCGTAAAATTTTTTAATTAAAAAAATATCATGCGATCTTTATCAGAAAGTAACGAAATTTAACGTTTTTTGCTTTTTAGTTAATGTTTTTAACCATTAATTTTTTTTTCTAAAACAGCTAATCCGTATCGTTAACGATTTAAAAATTAACGGTTTACGTCGTTTGTTAACGCACTCTTCCGTTAATTTTCGAAAACCCCCATTTCGTTAACGGAACTTTGCCCAGCCCTACTTGTCTAAATGAATGGTTTGCCGTGCAACCAACATTTAACTGGAGGTCCTGGTTTAAAGCCCAGTAACTTTGAAACTAGTTTTTTGTATTTCCTATTTTATACTTTTTTTAGTGCTGAAGCTTCAGCATTTGTTGACAGATTTTAAACGAAATAAAAAAAATATAAAAATATAAAAATATGACTAAAATAAGTCCTATACAGACAGGATGAACATCGTTGTAGTTAGTTTGACGTGAGCCAGCGTCCTAGAACCTTGTATATGGTTAAATATTTTACTTTTTAGAGCTATTCTTCTTTCCCCCTCCTACGAAGTTCCAATTGATACTTCTCGCCAAATTGCAGAAAATAAAATGGTGACAAATTATTAACAATTTTGTTTTTGAATTTTCATATCAGCAGTCGCCTTTATGAAGAAATGGCCCTTATTTTCATATTCTTTGTTAGGAAAAAATATATATATTCATTTTGAGACATTTTCTGAAATACAGGGTTACCCACAAAGGATGAGACTTCAGAGAAAGTTGTAGAGAATTCATACAGTCTGTTCATATATATTCATTATTCCTTGCAACTGTAAACCTGTTTTCTTCTTTTCCAAATTTTTAAATAAGCCATTAAAATACTATATTTAAGGCAGAAAACTGAATTTAACCTTGTAATCGTCATATTTAAGAGTTTCCGGTCATCTTTGAAGTCTCAACCTTTGTGTGTAACCCTGTAGGATTAGCTCTAGTTTTTCGGACTCATAGAAATTCGGAAAAATTGAAATTCGGGAAAATATCCAAACCCAATTTACAAACATTTCTCCAATTTCAAAGTATTTTTTATAAATCTCTTAAATGGCTCTCGATGATTTTCTAAACTACAAAACTACTCAAGAATTGGCAAAATCCTCTCGAAATTCGTTAAAATTCCCATTTCCAAGATCCAGATCAAATTTGATCATTTACATAGAGGGCCGGTGAACGTAAAGGTTAAGAGATTTAATAATTGCCAAATAATTTCGTATTAAAGACTAAACTCAAGACAAAATACTACATTTTGCCAAAGAACGACATATTTACTAATTGTCCACGTCGTTCTCCAGGTTTACAATAATTTTCATAGTCATACTCCCGTGTAGTCAAAGTCATACTCCCTCTTAGTCATAGCCATACTCCCGCGTAGTTATAGTCATACTCCCGCGTAGTCATAGTCATACTCCCTCGTAGTCATAGCCATGCTCTCTCATAGTCATAGCCAGGCTCCCGCGTAGTCATAGTCATACTCCCGCGTAGTCATAGCCATACTCCCATGTAGTCATATTCATACTCATGCGGAGTCATAGTCATACTCCCGGGTAGTCATAGTCATTCACCCGTTTACCGTTGTCTGGTATTTAATCATGATTTTAGCTGGAAAGCTTTATTATAATTATATAATCTATTGTTAATCTAGTATACAGCTGTGAACCCTGGTGCTGCCTGGCATTATAAATATTTACTTACATCTTCAGACCCATACAGAGTTCGGATGATGGAGCGCCCACTGTTCATTAAAGACCAGGTAACGTCTTTAAAACCCTAAATAGTTCAGATGATGAAGCACCCCCAGTTCATTAAAGATTAGGTAATATTTTCAGATTCCTTCATAGGTCAGATGATGAAGCATCCACTGTTCATTTAAGATTGGGTAATAGTTTTAGATTCCTAAATATTTCACATGATGAAGTACCCACTCTTCATTAAAGATCAGGTTTTATCTTCAGATCCCTAACTAGTTCAGATGATTGAGCACCCACTGTTCATTAAAGATCAGGTAACATCTTCAGATATAGTTCAGATGATTAGGACTTCCTGTTCATTGAAGACCATGAAATACTCTTAATCTAATTGAAGACTACTTCTTCTTTTAAAAAACATAATTCCAGACTAGAATACTTAAATTTAACCAAAAAAATTACCATCTTATATTCTTCTTTTGAATTTCGAGGGTTTTGCAAATATTTGAACTTGAATATTTGTCCTCTACAGGTATATTTCAATATAAATAGAGATCGTGGTCCTTTAAAAACTTTTTTAGAAATCATTTCCTTTATTGTTTATCTTTCACGAAATCAGTCTCTTTAATGCATATTTCCACCTATTAAGAGATCACTTAATAAATTTATTTTTCTTGCCAACAATTACCTATATTTTATAAATCTATTTTTACATATATCACTCGCTTCTGTTATTGTTTATTTTTTAGGAAGAGAGATGTACTGTCGCTCCTCAAAGGAAAGATACTGTATGTTTGGGAGATAAGGTTTTTTAAACATAATATTTACGCCGCTTTTAATTTTCATTAAACATCATCATTTATTTTATTTTAATTAAAGGGATATTTTTTGGGATAACATTAATTTTCTTTATTATACACTGTTAGAAGAAAATATTTTGTTCTACATTAAGAGATATCCCCCAGTATTCTTTTCAGAGATATCCCCCAGTGTTCTTTTTTAAAGATATTCCCCAATATTTTTTTAGAGATATCTCCCAGTGCTCATTTTTAGAGATATCCTCTATTGTTCTTTTTTAAAGATATCCCCCAGTGTTCTTTTTAAGAGATATCCCCCCAGTGCTCATTTTTAGAGATATCATCTTGTTATATGAGAAACCAATATTTAAAACAATACAAAACATCAAATTCAGAGAAAATTGAATTTTCAAGTTCAAGTTCAAGTTAGAATCACTAGTGTTGTTGACATAAAAAAATAACTTACAAAACATAAAATTCAAGCTACAATTACTTGTTTTTGCACCAAAATTATGAAAATTTTCTGCCACATTTACTAAGTTTCACTCTGTGATACTGGGCCCTTACTACAACACCCCTCTTTTCACCCCCCTTGAGAAAATCCTGGTTACGGGCCTAATATTAGGGAATGTTGGGATTTTCTTACAGTATATTGGCACAGGCAGCCAATATTTTATCAGAATAATAAAATGAAGACGACTTTTCTATTTAAGTTTTGATTTCTGATAAGATATTATCAAATTACAAGCTTGCGAGAACAACCAGAACCTATTAATTGACTGCACTTTTCTTTGTTTCTATTTTTAATGCTGTTCAAAAGCTTGGTAAACATCAAAATTTAAATCAAAAGTCGTCTTCATTGTATTGATATAAACGATGACCATGCACTGTATTAAACCAGTATATAATTTTGTAGGAAAATGTTTTGAATTATGTGAAGAATAATCCAATATTTCCGAAAAATCAACCATTCTTCTACTTCAGCAAGGTAAACTGGTTAAACTAGATATAACAATATTTTCATGTTCAATGACCTTCCATTTAAGAATATCATGTCTATGTACCATTCTAACCTTTTTCTCATAAAAAATGAGTGAGTTATCCCTCTTTTTCTTCGAATTGATTATTTTAAATTGCGGTTTTCTATTGCGGAATTACGCACAAAGAGACAAAAATAACAGAAAGAATTCAACTCCAGATAGAAAAACGAAGATATCTTTCTTGTTATTGCTCAAAAAAGGCCGGTTTAAATGGTAACGTTTGGAATCGGACATATCCGTCCATAAACGAAGGGTCAATTAAAATGACAAGAACCGTCCCTTGAACCGTATTTTTTCTAATTCTAATTTCCTCAATTGTTTCTTTAGCATAAATCCACTTTTAATGAGAAACCAACTGTTGAAAATAGTCATTTTTAAAGGAAAACAAATATTTACATATCATTGGATATTGATCAGACAAAGCTTCTAGAGGTAACATTGTTAATATGACATTTTTTTTAAACGGAGGTTCACTTGAAATTACATTATTAGTCCCTTTATATTTTGTATCTGTTAAGGAGAAAATCAGACCATATTTATATTTTGTATCTGTTGAGGAGAAAATCAGACCATATTTCTACAGCTGGGTTGTTCAGAAGAATCTGTTCTGGAGAGAACATATTAATCAACATATTCTTATCTGTCATCAGGGACTACAGTGATAACCAGAAAACTCTGAAATAGGAAGATGACTTTTAGACTTAAGCTTTGACTTGAAATAGTCCAATAAGCAGTGTGCATTGTACACAGTAATTGTGCAGTGTAAATAGGCATATTTTTCTTAATTAGTGATTTAACAAGTGACTGGTAAAATTATTTTCTTTGTGACAACATGAATATTGCTATAAAGTCGTCTTCTTATTCCACTGTTTTCTAGTTATCACTGTATTATGTTTTGATTTATAGATTTAAACAATTAGTTGGTTGATATATTTATACTTATGGTTTGGTTTATACATCATTTAAACTATGGTTTAATTCAATTTTTGGCATATTATTCGATTGGTTGAGAAGACATCATATCAATCAGACTTTGTGCTATGATTGATTCCGTGGATATATTATTCAATTCTTTCTTTAGTTGACATTTTATTCAATTTATTATTTAGTTAACATTTTATTCAATTTATTATTTAGTTGACATTTTATTCAATTTATTATTTAGTTGAAATTTTATTCAATTTATTATTTAGCTGACATTTTATTCAATTTATTATTTAGTCAACATTTTATTAAATTTATTATTTAGTTGACAATTTATTCAATTTTTTATTTAGTTGACATTTTATTAAATTTATTATTTAGTTAACATTTTATTCAATTTATTATTTAGTTGAAATTTTATTCAATTTATTATTTAGTTGACATTTTATTAAATTTATTATTTAGTTGACATTTTATTCAATTTATTATTTAGTTGACATTTTATTAAATTTATTATTTAGTTGACATTTCATTCAATTTAATATTTATTTGACATTTTATTAAATTTATTATTTAGTTGACATTTTATTCAATTTTTTATTTAGTTAACATTTTATTCAATTTTTTATTTAGTTAACATTTTATTCAATTTTTTATTTAGTTAACATTTTATTCAATTTTTGGTTTGGTCGACAATGGCATATTATTCAAGCTATGGCTTGATTGATATATTATTCAATCTAAGGTTTGGTTGATACATTATTTAATCTATGGTTTGGTTGATAATGAAAAAAATGTAAGCCCTCCTTAGATTTGCAGAAACAGAATAATAAAGGGAAAACGGGATTAGATTTAAATAGAACTAAGAAGAAACCAAAGTGGGAATGATGATATTTTGTTTGAAATTCGGATTTAATAATATTTTTACACTGGCAGGGGTTAAAAAGGATTAAAATGAAAATCTATTTATTATTCAACAATGAATTAAAAAAGTAGTTTGTAAAAAGGCTGAAGATGAAAAATTAAGTTTTTATATTTTTGACAAATGCCTACACAATGTTCATTTTTCATTGGCTTCTGTAAAACTCGTGGCCAAAAAAAACCCGATTTAATCTGTGTTTAGTTTTTGTTAGAATTGTCTTTATATTCTTGATAACGTATAATGTTCAGGATCGACTAAGTCTTGAACACATGGCAGCAGCTTATATTTTGCTAGGGATAGGTCTTCTATTTTCAATCTTAGGAATAACGAACTTAAACAAATTAAGATAAAAAGACAATTATTTGTTATTTTAAAAAGTGATAATTTGCAACGGGTTGACACTATTTTTAAGATAAACACACGGGCATTGGGCAAACTCCTCTATAATATAGGGCCACATAGAATTATGCCTGAATTTCCTCTAAATGTATTTATTTTTAAGTCAACAAATCCTCTTAAATTGTAAAGAAAAATTTTTTAAAATTCGTTTTCGCTAGTTTTATGTTCAGAGATATTTTACTTCAAGAAATTTATTCAAACATTTTAAAAATTTGTTTATTTACCAATAAATAATAAAAAATTGGAAAAAATTCAATTAATAACGAGAGTGAGAGAGAATAACATTTTTAAAATGATAAGTTCAAAATGGAAAAAAATTAAACGTTCGTCGAAAACCTGCAGTCTAGGTGGTCTGAAAACCAGTCTAGGTGGTCTGAAAACCAGTCTAGGTGGCCTGAAAACCAGTCTAGGTGGGTCTGAAAACCAGTCTAGGTGGTTTGAAAACCAGTCTAGGTGGTCTGAAAACCAGTCTAGGTGGTCTGAAAACCAGTCTAGGTGGTCTGAAAACCAGTCTAGGTGGTTTGAAAAAAAGAGAATTTGTTAGCTTTTACTTGCTTCTATAAATTGTTTTGAATGCGAGTATTTTCAAAACGCACTTATACACGTTTTCAGCATTTTTATGACTTTAATGAAAATTAAATTTATAAATGGGTTTAAACTAGGAATTGTTTAAGACTGGGATATCTTAATCTATGTGAGGAATGAGGGGATTATTAAGCATTGACTTTTAGCACAAACTCAAATATGAGTTGTTACGTATGCTTGAAGGCTAATTATGTAAAGAAACTGCACATAGGGCTGGACACGTTCCAACTTTTCTAATCGGTTCGTTAACGTTTAGTTCCAAATTTAAAAGTTTTTAATTGTAAAGGTTTTTTTTCGTTAACGGCATATTCCGTTTTTTTAAAAAGGTACCGTTAGTTGACAGATAAATTTATCTAGGGTTGACAGTTTCATTTTTATTAACGGCGTTAATTGGAATTTTTTTAACAATTACAGAATTAATGGTGCAGCTATTAATGGTCTAATACAGTATTAACGGCATTAACGGCGTTAGCTGCGCAAAGCGCCAAAAAATTCTTTAACGGTCTATTACAGTATTAACAGCATTAACGGTGTGAAGTGCCGAGAAAAAAATTCGTGAACGGTTTATGAAATCATTAACAGTTGTTAACACAGAAGAAGACATTAATAAAGCTTCTAAACACATAACTTTTTTTCCAAGTTTAATTTTTAGCAGAAGAAATTACGTAAACCAGCGTTTTAAAAAAAAGCCGGTTCGTTTTCGTTTTCAATTGTTTATTTTTTCAAAAACGGCTAATCCGTTTCGTTAACGATTTAAATTTTCAAAAACCTCAGTTTCGTTAGCGATACTTTGCCCAGCCCTTACTGTACACTTCCCTTAAGCTTTGATTTTATAATCCCTTTACATTTGCAACCTTGCGGCGTAAACTTTTGATATTCAAATATTAACTATTAGATCAAAGCAGTGTTAATAGATTTGTAGCACAAAGGTCTACGACATCTTTTTGCAAAGATTAAATAAATATACTCATACTCGCAACACCTTTGGTCGTTGATTTTAAATCAATAACCAACTTTGAATAACTATCTAAACTTTTCTGTTTCCATAACACTTTACTTTTTAGAACCTTAGACAATTGTTTTTAACTTTAGAATTTTGGAAGCTTTTGAGAAGAAATCTAAATAAACTTATAGAGATTGGGCATTTAAGCCTGATGTCGCTTTAAAAATTCGAGAATTGTTATATTACGCAGTTAAAACATAATTCTTTCTTCCAAAAATATCCTAATTGTGTTTTTTATTCAGAAGAATGTATTTTTCGAAAAATAAAATATCTTGAAGGTTACAAATCTAGCAGAAGAAAATATTTCTAGAAAAATAAAACATATTCTGAGAGTTATATGTCTAGAAGAAAATATTTCCAGATAAATATTAAAATCTTGAATGTTAAATACCCAGAAGAATATATTTCCAGATAAATATTAAAATCTTGAATGTTTTATATCTAGAAGAATATATTTCCAGATAAATATTAAAATCTTGAATGTTATATACCCAGAAGAATATATTTCCAGATAAATATTAAAATCTTGAATGTTATATATCTAGAAGAAAATATTTCCAGATAAATATTAAAATCTTGAATGTTATATATCCAGAAGAATATATTTCCAGATAAATATTAAAATAATGGGCTAATCCATCGGTAATCTAATTTTTTTTGCTTTTTATTAAGAAATTTTTTTCTCTGTTTTTTTTGGATACCACTGTATTAATCTGGCATTTTGATGATTGCCCACTTTTTATGTTTCAAACTGTGTTTAATCAAATAGTCTAGGTTTAACAATATAAATCGAAGGTTTGCACCATCAGGCTGCAGAGATATAGAAATTAAAAAATTACAAGGCGGGTGTTCAGTTCCACTATTTTCTGGTTATCACTGTGCAGCGGGCGGAAAAACAAATAAATATGTATGCGAATAAAAAATACATTTATTAAAACGGATAAAAAAGAATATTAAGAATATAAAAGAATGATAACGACATAAAAAAAGTAGATATTAACAAATTAAAAAGGATCTTATGATTAAAAAGAATTTTTAAAATAAAGCTAACATATGATAAGAAGGAATCATAAATATGTGAATGAAAAGAAACATGAACAAAGAAAAAAAAATAATTTAAAACAGACAAAAACGAATAATGCTTTTATGAAGGAATGACAAAGACGTGAAAAAGGAGGTATTTACGAAAAAAAGAATTCATAGATTTCTTTTTGAAAAGGAAGCTTATAATGATTAATATATTCACCATGGAGAGGAATTGAAAGGTTGCCCTGCGTCTAAAAATAACTATTTCTACAGAAGTATACTAAGTATATAAGTAGATCATGATTTATCAATGATCCATATTATTCGTTCACAAGAAATAATTCGTGCAACTAAGCCGTATTTCAGAGGTTAAAAGGGAGGTATATATTGTCTCAATATGTCATTTCTCTCACAAAAATTTATATTTTTCTACTATATTATTCATATAAGGATATCTTTTGCTATATTTTTAGCCAAATTACAAATGAGAATGATGTAAAATGTTTTGTTGTTAAGATCAATTACTTTCGCTGATTCGAGGGGATCTTGTAAAACTCACTTAAAGAGACAGACCGCTATGTAAGGTAGTTGAACTGAGTATGCAGTGTTGTGGACAAATTCTTTAGGATTCATTTGAGACATATAAAACTTTTTAAAGATTTGAAAATCCTGAGTTTGAACGCAAAGTCAAAGTTGAAAAACGTACTTTTGGGTGGATACATTTCAGAATTATATTTTTTAAATTATTAAATAACAACGACAAAAATTTAAACAAAATTCTACAGTAAACTAATTAGTTGAAAATGAAAATTAACTCTTATCATCGAAAATTAGTTATCTTATTATAGTTTCCATAGTCTCTTTTTAATCACAAAGATTTTCTGCGGATTTTCTGGATTTTTTATCAAAAAGGCGACATTTGAAGAATTTAAAAAAATCTGCGAACAAATTCATTGAAAATAAGAAATTCAATATTATGATGAAAAAGTAAAATAATTAATTCTAACTTCGATTTATTGACACATTTCTTTTGAGAAATGTGTTCCTAACCATCTAATTGGTTATTTAATAATAAAAAAAACCGATTCTGAAAGCGTTCCCACCCAAATTCATAATTTTGAACGTCGACTTTGCGCTCAAACTCAGCAATTATACAGCATAGAAACGTTTTATATGTCTCACATATATACTCAGTTTAACTACCTTACATAGCCGGTCTGTCCCTTTAAAGAGAAGATAGGCGTAACATCAAATTACTTGCAACCTTTCATGTGGCTTGTCTAACTCAAAACAGTACCCTTAACAGCTTAATCTGATCAAAAATGAATAAGATATTCATCATTTCTCTTAACAAATTTTTAATTGAAATTTTTTTAAATTATGGTTACTCTTTTTTTAAATACAAAAACAACAAAGAAAAATGTAAAATTTAACAAGTTAAAGGGATCCGTTGTGAATTCGAGGGTTAATTGAAAATACCTATAGTCCCTTTAAAGAAAAAAACACAACGTAAAAAAATAGTTACAAGTAATTTGATTTAAATTTAAATTAAATTAAAAGTTAATTTTCGGATTTTTAAGATATTTCTTTGTAAGGAACTCCATGATTCGTGCATTATACACCCTGGAACTCCATGATTTGTGCATTATACACCCTGTAACTCCATGATTTGTGCATTATACACCCTGGAACTTCATGATTTGTGCATTATACACCCTGGAATTCTTCTAATTTGAATCCCCTCCATAATCCTTCTCTCTCTCCCTCTCTCTCTCTCTCTCTTGAACCCATTTTAACCTTTTCTTCATCTCAACTCATAATTCAGTTTACAAGGAGTACTTCTACTATAGGGTGGGTCATACAGTCATCATATATATTAATACAATGACGACGACTTTCTATTTCAATTTTGATTCCTACCAAATTTTTAAACAGCAGAGACAAATGAACATATAAAGTTGTCAATTGACAGTTTCTCTTTGTTTACTTGTAATGTGAAAAATGCTTGTTAGGAATCAAAGCAGTAATAATAAAAAACCGTCTTCATTGTATGGATATAATCGCCAACCACTGTGCAAGGACTGATATATCTGTATTAGCCTGTTCATGGATTGTTTGTTGTTCATCATATATCAGTACCACCCTGTTCATGGACTGTTTGTTGTTCATCATATATCAGTACCACCCTGTATATGGTTTGTTTGTATTCCATGATATATCAGTACCACCCTGTATATGGTTTGTTTGTATTCCATCATATATCAGTACCACCCTGTATATGGTTTGTTTGTATTCCATGATATATCAGTACCACCCTGTATATGGTTTGTTTGTATTCCATCATATATCTGCTAGGCTACCGGACTATTGCCCTGGTTTACTCTGCTCTGTTTACAAACGATATTCATGATACAAATAATAATAAACACATGCATAATCCGTTTTTAAAGTAATGCGTAAAACCTAGGTTTGTAGATTAAAGTCCATATCGTACTCAAGTTTTCTCTTTACCTGCATATATTAAATAATTAATTTCACACGCACCTCTGCCCCTTTAGTAAAAGTAAATTCAACCTATACGAAGCATTAAGTCTGACCACGTCAACATTGTTGCACCGTCCTGTCCATAGAGTTAACTAGGTACAGTACAAATTGGGACCGGAATGGTTGACCCGGCTCTGAAATTCAAACGCACTACTGTTGCCCGTTTCCAAGTAACCATCCACTGTAGATTTCCATGTCCGATTCACAACAGCACCCTTTAAACCCGGGACTGAAAATGATTTGAAAAACATGTAAACCATTACTACTACAAAGCAATGGGCCAGTAATTTCATTTTGGCGAGCAAATAATAAAGCGATAATAAAGTTCTTAGCTCATTACACATATATGTTAGTTATAGCTGCCCAAATGGTTGGACCAAATTGACTCAAATATCTTTATGGAAATCCATAGGTATCCAGGGGATCACAAAAATTTTGTTTTTCATTCAAAAATTTGAATTTGAATAAAAAATATTTTCTGCAGTTTTTTACAATAGTACGGGCAACGCCAGGCATTTCAGCTAGTAGACAGATTAATTGACATTAAAGGGAGTGACCGGCTATGTAAGGTAGATGAACTGAGTATGCAGTGTTGTGGAAAAGCTCTTTCGGATTCATTTGAGACATATTAAACTTTTTAAAGATCTGTAAATCCTGAGTTTGAGCGCAAATTCGATGTTCAAAACTCCTACTTGGGGGTGGATACGTTTTTAGAATTTAATACATTTGACTCAAAACAATTTTCAAAATCCAAGAAATCCGGGAGAAATTTTAGTTATTGTTTGATAATAATAATAATTCAATAGAAGTTGCCACTTGGGAAAAATCATTTTGAAAAATACCTAACAAAAACACCTAATAATGGCAGACACAATTATTGATAAAATTGATAATTAAGAACATATCAGACAATGTGGCGGAAAGTTAATTAAAAGTTAAAATCGAAGATGTGCTCTAAGCGCCCTTGAAGCCTGATGAATGCTTATAAGATATATTGTTTTATATTTTTTAATCAGGTTTTTTTTCAGGGCTTACGATAATGTTGAAACTATTAGGTCAAGGGTTTGAATAAAAATATATTTTTTATGGTTTTATTCTTATCTTTTATAGAAAAAACTTGGAACTTTGTTATAAGTATCCTAGCTGGTATACTTAAAGGCGTAGTTTCAATTGCCCTTGTATAAAGTGACGGGGGTAGATCCACAACGGTGACCTCGATAAACCTTTTTTTATCTGCAAATACGCTTGTAAATGGTGTTTTATTCAAAATATTAATATTTACTTTCTAAAAAACGAATGTTTGAAAACTGGGATTGAATATTTTGGATTTTCAAGGAACATGTGCAGAGGCGTCCTCAGGGGGGTTTGGGGGTCCAGCCCCCCCCCCTGTATCAGTAAATCTAAGGTTTCTGACCTCTACAGATGCTGTTTTTTACAGTACAGGTGCTTGGAAAAAAATCTTATACCACCTGGACAAATATTTGAGAATGCCATTGAATAATGCTTCCAGTCCTTTTCAGTAAAAAACTAAATTTTTACAAAATTTGTGAAGGTTTGCTTAAAAGATAATAAAATTCCAATAAATTATATTTTAATTAAAGATTAAAAATATTGATTACATATCTAGATTTTTATCCAAACCTTGTTGAACATCAGTATTAGTGACTGGAATTAACATTGCTTCTTCTGACCCGTTAGCTGCTCCTGAACCATTTGCTGCTCCTGATGCATTTCCTGAACCTGTCCCTGATGCGAATGCCCATCCAGAAGCAACTGCTGAAGCACGTGCAAGCCCTCATGTTTTGATCTATAAAAACTGAGAATATTTGATTGAAAACAATTCCAAGATTTTCTCAAAATTAATGATTTAAAAAAAATGTATCCAATCTAAAATGAATATTTAAATTTGTCTCCAACTAGTCCATTTTTTGGTGGTTTTTGGTAACTTCAAGTAAATAGTATTTTCTTTGCTTTTTGTAAACTTTCAGTAAGAAAATATATCAATTTTAAATAGAAAAATTCCTTTTTCTCAGAGTTAATTTGAAGATTAAGGAACCGAGTTTTTGGCATAAACTCAAACTTTATCATCTCCTTATGTTTGTAGCCTGATGGTTTAAACCTTTAATTTTCAAACTGATAGACTATTAGATCTCACATAATGCAGAGTTTGAAGTAACTAAGGTCTATGACATTGGGTTGGAAAGATACAGGGATTTAAATCTGAGTTTGTGGCAAAGACTCAATTTCATTGACAAATATCTTTATAAAAAGCTAATCTTAACCATGCAGGCTTTACTGCCATTTGGGCTGATTGGACGATTTATTGGCCTTGCTTTAGCTGGAGATAATCATGATGATGATGAGGACTGTTTTTGTGACAGAACTTTTGGAACTGATAAGGTAAAATAAAATAAAACGCATTCTTGTGTAAAAATAACATGATCCTTTTAGGACAACAATGAAGATTGTGATTGTGAAAATGATGTTTACAGACCTCCTACCTACACTAAACCTTCATACGGTCCACTTATTTATAGTGGAGGATCTATTAATAATCCACTAAAGTCATATGAGGCTCCAACATCTTTCCCCTACTCCAATAATCCCAGTCGTCCTTTATCCGATTCCTATGGTGCCCCCAATCCGGGGTCATTTGATCCATTAACCTCATATGTTTCCCCTCTATCCAGCTCTTATAGTGCTCCTTCTTTCCTTCTTTATAAACCTATCTCAGATTCATATAACCCTCCTCATCGACAGCCATTACCAACTTATACTCCACCCTCAACACTACAATATAGTCCCTCCTCAGCAGGTTCTGGACATCCATCTAGCTCTTACGGTCCACCCTCTTCTATATCGCCTTGGATACCCTTTCACGCATCCCATGAAACTCCCATTACTCAGCCACCAAATCAAACACATGAACCTGATACTCATGAACATATTGGAAATTATTCGCCTCCCAAAGCTAAGAATGGTTGTGTTTGCCGTGAAGATAATTATAAAAAGGTAAATTATTTTGTCTTCCAATTTTAACCAAGGGGAGTGTTAATCATTAATTTACAGTTTTAATTTTTATTATTTACACATTAATTTGGCAAATTAAAGTAACTGTAAGCTTAATCCTCCATGCAAAATAGCAACCTTACCCTTAAAATCTTAATCTATCAAGTTCAAAAAGTGTTTAATTCTTTGAAATTCTCCATTGATTCTTTTAAGCAAAAAATGCACAAGTCAGTTTTGTAGAAAACAGTTTAAATAAATAAAAACATGCAAATTGGATTCATAATTGATCAGACGTACCAGGCATAGCCATCTTTCAGAAGAAAGTCACGCTATCTTTTGTTATCTCTTTCAATAAAATAAAGGACAATTAAGGATTAATATTGATTTTGTTTAGAAAGAAAATGGTTGTGAGTGTGAACCTCCTGTCTCCTATGAAACTGGAAACAGAATAACTAACTACCAAGCCCCTATTTTTGTTCAATTAGTTCAGGATGGGGACTACAACTACTCGAACTATCAAAATCTTCAAACAGATCTAAACTTAGAAAGACATACTACTTCACACCCAAACTCAGATGAAAGCCATCTTGATAATTTTCGAGAAGATGATAGCTATGCTCTGAATCCTGACTTGCCATCCAATCCGTCGGCGTCAGATGGCTATACATATGATCAGTCCTCTCTAAGCCAATCACACGGGCATTCATCAGAAACTAAATTTGAATTTAACTTCCCGCTTTATTATCCGCAGTTTGATAATCAGCAGACACCATCATCCGGGAAAAAGCATCCATCCAATCCCACCCCAGTTTACTTTTCTACATCTACATATACTTCAGGAAGCAACACATTTAAAAAAATTAATTTCCAAAAAAGAATAGAATTACAACTTTCTCTCACCAAACCTTATTTTTATAAATAGTTGCAATTCAGGTTTTACTCAGAAACCTCTCTTACACCAAAGTCTTGTGGATTATGGTAAACCCAATTTTTTTCCTCAAAAATTAGATTTTTTATTTAAAAATTATTACAGGTTATGAATCAGTATCCCTAATATCAAGCCAGAGCAATGAGGACTACAAAGAACTACCTGGGAACCATAAACACCAGCATGATGAATATCAAGAAGATGTTGGAGTGTATCATGAAGACGGTGAGGCTCATAAATATGAACACGATCCCCATCAAATCATCAAAGATCCAGAGCCTTCCAATATTGGCTTAGGGAATAACAAGCTTGGAAATCAGAGAAAAGGATATTCCTATGTTTACTTCTACAGCACCTAGTAATTCAGTTTTAATTGTAAAAAACTACTTTTTTAAAATATTCACATTTAAATATTCATTACATATTTAATATGCTCGGTGTGCTGTCCAGTGTGCTATCCAGTTTTACCTTATATAGTCCATATATGTGTACTGCACTGCTCGGTCTAGGTGCTTAAAAATCGGCCCGGTACTTGAAATGAACCCGAGTTTAAAGTACAGTTGGTCCGTTACTTCCAATGTACTGGAATTATCAATGCTTAAGATAGTTTTGTTAAACCTTTTAGTTCGTTAAAAAAAATTAATAAAATTTCAAAACTTTATTATGTTAAAATTTGCTTTTATTTAACTTTACAGTATCTTTATTCTAAAAAAATGAAAACGATCAGTTAAACAAATTCTTTTTTGCATCGTTTTTGCATAGTTTTTGAGTCGTTTTTTTGCATTTATCTTCTGTCAGGGTTAAAATTTAACATATTGAGAGAAAATTAAATGTTTAGAATAAAATATTTAAACAATTGTTTTTCTAACACTTTACCAAATTTTGACTAAGAAAAAAAATTAGGCAAAAAATTACTATAAACTAAGCAAATGAAGGCCGATCTATTAAAATGAATTTCCAAAGTGGACATTTTAGTTTCCTTCTTAATCCACTCTTTTAATATAGCCAATGAATATGTATCAAACCATTGCGACAGCGCAAATAGTCAAAATCATGTTGCCAGATGTTCTGGACTATATAAATAGCTGTACAACTGTTTATATTTCAGTTAGTCTGGGCCTAGCCCTAGTTTAACTCACTTACAATTTAATAAAAACCCATTTATGAATTGATTCATGTTCTTTCTATTTAACAAAACTCAACTAAGAAAATATTGTTTATTACGTTGTTTCTTTTACTTTATGTAAGAGTCACTGGTTATGTGGTCTCCAGGTCGCGGGAGAGATAGGTAGATGTTTCCCCACAGTTTAAGCTGAAAGATTTCCGGAAAAGGAAATAGAAATTTCCGGAAAAAGGAAAATGGTAATTTAAAAAAGAGACTATAAATATAAACAAAACAAAACGATACATTACACCATGTAAAAAAGAAAACCGAATGAATATGTGTGTTTTTGTTATATATATATATATATATATATATATATATATATATATATATATATATATATATATATATATATAAAAATGTTTTTCTTGTTTTTACTAAAAGAAGATGCTAGTTTGGCACAGGTTTCACCTTACATTCATTTTAACAACTAATTGTTTACTATTGTCGAGTTTTTTATAAAGAGCCAAAATAAAATGCGCATTTACAATGGATTCATAATTGATTCATATTGCACAAGCTTGGAAACCTAACTTTGCCAGGAAACTAAACTTTCTCTCTAAAATCCGACTCAACTTACAGTTTTAAAATCAGTGCTAAGAACCAATCAATCACAATTTGAGGCAAATCTGGCAAGGGGTTTATGAGCTATATTGATATATATATATTGATATTATATATATATGATCGGACGTACAAACAAAGAAACAGAGATTACTACTTTATAGATATATTTAAAAATATTATGAATAAATGATTGCCGTGGTTCTATTGTTTCATATAAAGATAAATGTTGGACCAGTGCAAATTGTTTACAAATATATATCTAGAGCTGGGCATGTTAAGATTGTTTACTAATATATACCTAGAGCTGGGCATGTTAAGATGGTTTACTAATATATACCTAGAGCTGGGAATGTTAAGATTGTTTACTAATATATATCAAGAGCTGGGCATGTTAAGATTGTTTACTAATATATACCTGGAGCTGGGCATGTTAAGATTGTTTACTAATATATACCTAGAGCTGGGCATGTTAAGATTGTTTACTAATATATATCAAGAGCTGGGCATGTTAAGATTGTTTACTAATATATACCTGGAGCTGGGCATGTTAAGATTGTTTACTAATATATACCTAGAGCTGGGCATGTTAAGATTGTTTACTAATATATATCTAGAGCTGGGCATGTTAATATTTTTTACTAATATATACCTAGAGCTGGGCATGTTAAGACTTTTTTAACCGTTCGTTAACGGTTAATTATAATAACCAACGAACTAACTTCTCAGGTATATCTGTTTGTTCTCAGCTATGAACTGGAAGTTTTGTTCAGTAACGGCATTACAGGTCGATATTCAAATAATTAAATCATATATATGGGAAAAAAGAAAATATCAAAGAACAGCCTAGCAGATTAAATTTTATTTTACTTTCTGTAATAAAGTTTCATACAATTCAATTTTAAGCAGGAAAAAAATAAAGAAATTCCTTGCTATTTCTAAAATACATTTTTTCGGTTTTTTTTTAAATTTTCTGTTCTTTATTCTTCATGAACAGTAATATTTTTCGGTCGGTTAACGCTATCAAAATAAAGAGGTTTTGCTAGTTGTTAACGGAATCTTTTTTAATTTTCCAAACCTGCCGTTTGTTTACAGGAAATTGCCCATCCCTTCTAATATCCAGAGTATTCTCACGGTTGAATAAAGAAATGTTCCGTAATATTTATCCAATAGCAGCTGTGTTGTACACATATTGGTGCACTTAGCCAAAAATTTAATACATGGTATGGATATAAAAACCAGTTTTGAAACCCGGGTTTCACGAATGGGGTTAGTCAGTTTTGTAGATATCAATATTTTTGTCATGAAATATTATATTATTTAGTTTCTCTATATTCTCCTTTTTTTGAATCTCTTATATTAAAATCTACTTAATTGTTAAGACTCTGAAATGGAAACTCTGGAGTTTCATTCAACGATACTCTTTTAAATTTTGGGCTCTGTAGACGAATGGCGCAATTTATAAATGGAAAACTGGTTTTTGTACAATTTGTAATTTTAGCAGCATCTTTAACAGAATACATCAAATACATAATTTTTAAATGATAATAATGGAAGATTGTACACCTTTGAAATAAATATCTTTACATTATAATTCTTTGGGATAGGTATACATTTTTTAATCTTTATGATTCTAAAGAGCAAACCCAGAGAACATTTTACAGTGCTTTACTGACAGTCTATAAGACAAAAGAAATTGTCACAATTTTTAGTAAACTCAGAGAATTTTGTATTGTAGAACGTATACATTTGACAAAAAAAAATGTTATGCTTGAAATTGAAAAAAAAGAATGTTTAATTTTTTAGAAAGAACCCATATTCTTGTAACTAGTAGAATGTGCTTGAGAAAGCTTTTTTCTATAACAGTAACCAAGAGATTGGGTTAGATTGCCTTGGACCTTGAATTCGGTTGATTAGATTCTAATTTGTGAGTACATTTCTCTCTCCTTCTCTCTCTCTCCCTTCTGTTCCTCTCCGGGTGTAATCTCTCAGGAGGACGTAATAAAAGGATATCTCCGGAGAACTCAGTTCTCTCCAAACCATCTAGCGAGGAAAGTATTACACGTACACAATTATCCAAGTTTAAATTGAAGACAGAGACAACAGAATAGTTTCACAAGCTGTATCTATCTATAAATTTGGCTTGTCTGTCTGTTTGTCTGGGTGTCTGTTTGTTTGTTTGTATCCAATAAACGTCAAAACGGCTGAACCGATCGGGCCCACATTTTTTGTGGGACATCTAGGGACCCCAGGAAAGGTTTTTGAATTATCAAAATTTCAAATATTTGTCTCCATCAAAATTCGATCTTCATTAAATTTTTGAAAATTTTGAAAATCCACGAAATTTTTTGTGAAAATCCGCGAATTATTTTTGTTTTGTTTTACGATGTACACAAAGAGAACATCTTCTAAAGCTAGTATAATATAAATGCGGTTTTCAGGGTTTTCCTCAGCCTTTGATGACTCTAAAATTGTAATTTATATACATAAATAAAGTTAAAAATGATAAAAAATCTTGTGTAAAAGTTTTGCTGTGAAAATTGAATGTTAAAAAAAGAAACCACATGAAAGGAATTAATTGAGTCTTTGCCACAAACTCAGATTTTCTAATCATGCTATATCTGCAACCTTATGTCAAATTATCAATTAGGTTATATCAAAAAGTTTGAAAAATCAAGGTTTTGGTGAGATATAGGAATAGATATAGATAAAGGAATTAGAAATTTGTATCTTTTAATTTCAACACTTTGATGACATTCTTTGACTGTGTAATAAAGCATCAAAAGTGTGATTTGAAAGCATCAACAACAAAAAGGAAATCAAATTTGATGCCTTTTTGAACAAATATTAACTTTCCAGTCAAATTATGACTGAATGAGCAAAAAGAACCAGGAAGCATTGCTATTCATCGTGCTTTTCCGATGGATTTAACACCACAAATATTTCCTCATCAGTTGTAAAACAAGATGAAAGAAATCCTTCATTTTTCTTGTCAAAAATCATTTTTGATGCTTTTAAGAAAAACCTTAGAAAGAAAAAGTTTTTGCAAGAGAGGAAGAAGATGCGCCCCCCCCCCCCCGCGTCTGTTTTCGATATAATGACTCAGGGATATCAAAATAGCAAAATTTCTTACTATTCGGTTAAAACGGCAAATAGTTAGAAGTTAATGGACTCTACTTTTCTAAGACTGTACCCGCATAGAACCGCAGACGCTGTTTTAGAGTCTGAAAACGACCCGCAAGACACCAAAAACTGGCGCCCGCCCGACTCTATGTTAGTACTAAGAAGAGAGTCGTTTTTAGACCGTAAAGACCATGAATCCGTCTCTCCTCAAAACGGAAGGTGTCGGATGTCTCTCCCGGCAGGGGGCCATTATCTCCCTCAATATTTATTACTTTGGCGCCATATGTCTGCATCTGCAAGCTGTCGAGACAAGCTGTTTTCC